CTGCATGCTCCGCACTGGGGATCGAGCCCACAACCTGGGCATGTGTCTTTGACTAGAATCGAACCTGAGACCCTTGAGTCTACAGGTTGACACTTTATACACTGAGCCAAACCAGCTAGAGCTAGTTAACTTTTATATATGGTGTTAGGTGAAGGTCCAACTTTATTCTTTTCCATGTGAATATCCAGTTTTCCCAACACTATTTGTTGAAAAAAACTGTCCTTTCCCCACTGAAGGTCTTGAAACCCTTGTCAAACATCATTTGACCATATTTTAGAGCAGGTGGGGAACATCTGGGCCATGGGCCACATAAGGCCCATGAAATCATTTTGTCTGGCCCTGCCAAGGCATTAGGGGTGAGTAAATTAAGTGTTTGACCAAATATGGCAGGCTAATTTTTAAGTTGATAATTTTGTATGGCCCACAAATAATGTTACAAATATCTAAATAGCCCTTGGTAGAAAAAAAGATTTCCCCACCCATTTCAGAGGGTTTATTTCTGGGTTCTCTATTTTTTTCCATTGTTGAGTATGTCTATTTTTATACTAGTACCACACAGTTTTAACTATTGCTACTTAATAGTAATTTTTGAAATCAGGGATTGTGAGTCCTCCAGCTTTGTTCTTTTTCAATGTGTTCGCTATTTGGGGTATGTTGAGATTTCATATAAATTTTAGTATGGGTTTTTCTACTTCTGCAAAAAAACAAAACAAACAAAAAAAAAACCCTGCTAGGATTTTGATAGTGATTGGTTTGATACCACCAACATCAGGCAACACCCTCTCCTCAGAGAATCAGGACGCAGCAAATAAATAAGAGTGCTGTAGGTAGTATTGACATCTTAATAATATATATCTTCCAATTCATGAACATAAAATGTACTTTTGTCTTCTTTAATTTCAGCAATGTTTTGGAGTTTTCACTATATAAATCTTTCACCTTTTTGGTTAATTTCTAAATATTTATTATTTTTTATGCTATTGGAAATGGAATTGTTCATGTAATTTCATTTTCAGATTGTTCATTGTTAGTGTATAGAAATGCAACTGATTTTTGTGTTTTGACACTGTATCCTGCTACTTTGCTGAATTTATTAGTTTTAGCAGTTTTTTTGTGGAATCTTCAGAGTTTTCTGTATATAAGATCATATAATATGTGAACAGAGATCATTTTACTTCTTCCTTTCCAATTTCGATGCTTTTTCTTTCTTTTTCGGGCCTAAATTGATATGGCTAGATTTTTCAGTACAATTAGTGATAGCTTTAAAGAATTTTTGCAACTTCATAAATTCCCATTGCTTGTTGTAAGACTTAGTAGTAACTTGGATTTTGTTTTTCAGTCTTTGCAGTTTTCAAGCAATCTTAATTATTGAAGGCAGTGCCTTCTTATAGGTGTACACCTTTGTCAAAACTCTTTTTCCTTTAAAGTTAATTTACATAAATTACACCTAAGCAAAGCTGATTTTTTTTTTAAAAAACTACTCTTGGGCCCTGACTGGTTTGGCTCAGTGGATAGAGCATCAGCCTGCGGACTGAAGGGTCCCGGGTTCGATTCCAGTCAAGGGCATGTACCTTGGTTGGGGGCACATCCCCAGTTGGGGGTGTGCAGGAGGCAGCTGGTCGATGTTTCTCTCTCTCATCGATGTTTCTAACTCTCTATCCCTCTCCCTTCCTCTCTGTAAAAAATTAATAAAATATATATTTTTAAAAAAACGACTCTTGGGAGAACTGACCTCAACACACACTACATAACATTATCGTAAATGCTGCATCTCTGAATACGAGCTTACCACAATTACAAAATACTTGAGGAAATAATTTATCATGAGCAAGAGTTGGTTACAACAAATGGCAGGATTATAACCCTAAAAAATTTAGATAATTGAACAATATGACAGAGACTATAATTTAAATTTATTTTAAATTATTTTAACATAAAATGAATTAAAAACAAAGATACCAGCCGGGGAGGGTTGGGGGGCAGGAGGGAGGGGGGTAAGAAATCAACCAAAGGACTTGTATGCATGCATATAAGCATAACCAATGGACATAAGACACTGGGGGGTAGGGGAGGCCAGGGGATTGTCAAGGGCGGGGGAAAAAAAGGGACACATATGTAATCCCCTTTGTAATACTGTAAGCAATAAAAAATAATAATAAAATAAAAAAATAAAAAACAGATACCATAAAAAACAGGTAGATTTGAAAATGAACCAAATAATGTCTAAAAATAAAAATAAGAACTCAAAAAACAAATTAAATCTAGCTGAAGAGTAAATCAGCATGCAAAGATAAAGGTTACAGAAATATAGAGATGAAAATTATGAAAGAGTAAGAGATATGGAGGACAGAATAAGGAGGTTTAATGTAAGTTAAATATGAGAGGCACTATTTAAAGAGATAATGATGGGGAATTTTTACAAAACTGATGAAAGATATGAAAACTCAGGTTGAAGAATCACTATAAACTTCCAATAGGATAAAAATTAAATCCACACCCTGTATTGAAACTACAGAACATAAATGACAAAAAAAAATCTTTTAAATATTCAGAAAGAAAGGCAAGTTACCTACAATGAAGTAATAAATTGTCAGCATAGTTTTCAAGAGTAAAAGCCAGAATTTCAGTGGAATAACATTTTCAAAGTGCTCAGAGAAAATAATTGGAAACCTAATACCCAGCTAAATTATCAATCAAGACTGAAGAGGAAGTAAAGATATATTCCAACAATGCGTGTTTATCACCAACAGACCCTCATCAAAGAAAACAGATGAAGGTCATATCTATCTGTTTGACACAAAAGAAATAAATAACTCGCAACAAAGAGTGGTGAAAAAAATAAAATAAATGTAGCCCTAGAGTCAGTGTGGCTCAGTTGGTTGAGCATCATCCCATGCACCAAAAGGTCACCGATTTGATTCCCCGTAAGGGCAGATGCCCTGGGTTTAAGGCTCGATCTCCAGTAGGGGGCTTGCAGGAAGCAGCCAATTGATGTCTGTTTCATCAATGTTTCTCTCCCTCTCCCTTTTTCTCTAAAAAAAAAAATCAATAAAAACATTTACAAAATAAAACCAGAAAAGAAGAAAAAAAGAGTAAATATATACAGGTAAAATGAATCACTGACAGCATAAAACAATAATTACTAATTAGAATTGTTCAACATTGGTGTTGACTGCCTTTGGGAACACCTAGTTTCATTTATGGAAGTGCTTATTTTTTATATAGATAATACCTTTTAATATTTTTCGTGTACAGTAGGCAAGAGGCTGAAATAAATGACTCCTAAGATACCTACTGACCATAGATAGGGTTTATCAATTAGACACAAAACATTCCCTCAGCAGCTCTGTTTGGCCATCTGAGGCAGGGCTTTGTCCCTATCCCAACAGTTCTAGAACTCCAGTCTTACTTCTTCCGCATTCTTCCCACTCCCATATCCCATAAATAAATAAAAACAAAAAACATTCTAAATAGAAATGTTTCTTATGTGAGCTTTGGGACAATATCTTTTAGTTTTGGGGGAGTGGAGCTTTTGGCTTTAAGATTCATCATTTGCTTCCACTTGGGCCTCCTAAGTAATGTACCTCTCCCTCTACAAGAGGAAATAAATACCACGCTGGAACGGAAAAGAGGGAACGCACACTCACCGCTGCTGACTGAAAGCTCCTTGAGGTGATCTGAACATTCCCTCCAGATTCCCATCTATTCACCTCAGATGAATATATAGATCTCCACAATTCCCTTACCATCGAAGGTTTCTGCCCACACACACAGTTACACCTCTGACAACCCATAACTTTGGCAATACAAGACTAGGCAACAGACACCAGAGAGCAAAGCCTGCATTAAAGCAGGTACATATTATAACACTGTCAGAAAGCAGTTCCATTCCAGGCAAGAGGAGAGCATAAGACAGAGGTCCAAACGCCACTGAATGAAGATGGAGAGGCCAGGCTCCTATCCCCTTTCGGCCCAATAAAGCTCATTCATTTCAAAGTAAGTAATGACCATGCCAACGTTTCGTATCGCATAGGCATGAGGATACCAGGACAGAAGACACTACCTAGAAGGGCAACATGCGGACACTCTGAGGACGCGGATGAACACTGCTGCCGCCGAGTGAAGTGAGAGGCGCCCTGGAGGCTCCTTCCCACCCACAGCCTTCGCGCAGGCACTTTGCAGTCACAAACCTGCACTCTCCAACACGCTTCCACCAAACACCGTGCCTGCCTTGACCCTTAAAACCACCCCAGGAAGTAGGAAACGCAGGTAAATTCGCTGTTTACATACATGAGAAGTGAGGCTTAAAATAAAGTGGCTGGTCCAAGACAACCTGCACCCCACACAAGCCTCTTTCCTCCCCTCCCGTCCTCACTGAGGCCCAGCCCCGCAAGCCCCAGCACAGCCCACCACGCACTAACTAGGTAGCCCTGGCCGAGCTCAACCTCAGATTTCCCCATCTGTAATACACTATAAGGTTGTTAGGAATATTTTTTAAATGACCCATCTAAAGGGTGTGGCGCAGTGTCTGGCACGTAGCTGCTCAGAAATGTTTATCCCTACTACGTATTCCTAATAACAATAGGCAGAGACTTCCCATTACAAGACCCTCTCGTCACAAGCACGTCAGAAACCTGCATTTCCCCCCGCCACCCACAAGATCGCCCTCAGACGTCATCTTACAGACACGCCCCCAAACAGGCCGCCCGGCCCCTCCCCCGCCGACAGACCCCTCTCCTCACAAACCTTGGGCCCGCGCCAGCCCTGTGAGCGCACAGTTTAAACGCTGGCTCCGCCCCCTCGCCCGGAGCTCTGATAGGCTCCGGGAGCTGGTGTGCTCGCCGGGGCACGCTTGAGGACCCGGGAAAAGGAAGTGCGAGGGCCACTGGGAAAAAAGAAGGGGTGTCACCACTACCGGCCCCCGGCCCCTACTTGAGGGCAAAGACTACAAATCCCAACACATTCGCGGCCTTGGAGCCCCGCCCCTAACAAACTACATCTCCCGGTAGGCATTGCGGCAGCGCTTTCGGCGCCAGGCCGCGGTGTGGTGGCTTAGGTAGTTACCATGGAGTTGCGCTGGGTAACCCTGAGGTAGTGAGTGGGACGCCGAGGCTGGAGGGGCAGCAGCTACGGGTGAGTCGGGCGGGAAAATGGGAAACCCATTCTAGGGAACAAGAGCTCTGTGGAGAGGGGAGGGGCACTTCCTTTCACCGGGACCTGAGACACCCCTCCCCCCCAAACAAAAACAAAAAAAAAACCTATCACAGTGAACATGACACAACACCCATATGGGGTAGATGGGTTCCGGGGTGCTTAAGAACCTCCCCATCACGAACACGGGGCTTCCTGGTACCCTGGAAGATATGGACACCCTGACATAAGGTTGGTTTTCCTGATGAACTGAGACCCAGGGTCTTCCAGACACGGGAGTAACAGAGTAAGTCACAGGCCCTAATACTGGAGATGTAAGAAACGTTATGGGCTTGCACTGCCCCTTTCCTTCCAAGCAGGAAGACCCCAGGGAAGAGCCTCCGTCTCGGTCTGAGCAGGATCTTTCCGCACACTCAGGGCTCCTGTCCCCAAGTTCCCGCTTCCCCCTACACCTCCTCTATGATCTGTTTCTCAAAGCTCTACAGTTGGAGCTTCATTCCTTTTACAGTCTTCATGACCGATCTATTGCATTTAGTAACTTAACCAGCGCTTTCATATCCAGTGCCTCTTTGGAGCTTTGTGAATCAAGGATTTTTATCCCCATTTCACAGATTGGAAAACTGAAACCCAAAGAGGCGCAGTGACTTGCCCAAGGCCACACACCAAGTCAGTGACAGCTAGGACTAGACTCCAGTTCACCAACCCCCAGCCACGTCTCTAACTTGAGCCTACAGCCTCTCTAGTTAAAGGACTTGTTCCAACAAGTGGGAACTGCCCCAGGGAAAAGAAACCTGTCTGGCCTACATTGGATTATTTGGAGTTTCAGATCCTTCCTTTCAAGTTTAAATGGGAAAGGGAACTGGAGAGATGAAAGACAATGGAAATCAAACAGGAACAGGAAACAGTCTGGCTACACAGCACCCATGTCTGATGCTGCCATGATTAGCTGGTTTCTGGCTGGCTTCTAGCTGGCCCTGATTGTCCACTTACTATCTTCAAGTACCTCCAGGCTTGGTCCTAGGTCCACTTCCTACCTCACTCTATATTCCCTTGTTGGGGATGATCATCCACAACTTCATTTACCATCTGTATGTACACAACTGTCTATCTCCAGCCCAGTTCTCATCTCTAAGCTCTGGGTCTGTATAGCCAATTGCCTCTTCAACATCTCCTTCAGGGTATTTCAAAGACAACCTAAACTCAACATGTCCGCAACCGAACTCATAATCTCTATGTACTCCAAGCCTCAATTTCTTCCAGTGTTCTCACCCTCTATCCACCATTACAGAAGCCAAAGAACCAAGATTTAGCCTGAATACCTCTTACATTTCCCATTCATCATGAAGTCTTGTCAACTTCTCATCACATCCTTCATGCCTACCCTCCCAGACATTTTGCATACTGCAACCAGAGTAATCCTTTAAAAGTAGAAATTTGATATTGTCCACCTTCCCCATCCTACACTCATTTAAAAAGTTATGTGGCATCCTATTATTCCTAGCATCAAGCAACATTTCAGCCTGACTCCTGCCCACCTTTCTAGCCTCCAGTCTAACCATAACTTTTTTTAAAAACCTTTATCGTTGAAAGTATTACAAATGTCTCCCTCCCATTGACCCCCTCCAGCCTGCTTAACGATACCTTTTATCCCCTCCAGTTCTATGGCCTTTTTAAAAATATTTTTTAATTGATTTCAGAGAGGAATGGAGAGGGAGAGAGAAACATCAATGATGAGAATTATTGATTGGCTGCCTCCTGCACTCCCCACACTGGGGATCAAGCCCACAAGCCAGGCATATGCCCTGACCAGGAATCAAACAGTGACCTCCTGGTTCATATAGGTGGACGCTCAATCACTGAGCCATGCCGGCTGGGTAATATGGCCTTTTTAAGGTCTTCACAATTTCCAAGTAACCTCTCACCATAGAACCTGTTATTTCTGCCTGGAATGTTCATCCCCCCACCCATCTCCCTGTTAATTTGTGCTTATCCTCAATTTCATCTCTCAATCACTTCGTTTAAAATGTCTTCCCTTAAAATAAAACAAAAATAATTAAAATAAAATAATTGTTAAAGATAAAAATGTCTTCCCCTGACTGCTCAGCAGGTCAGATTCCTCAGTTATAGTAACCTCATGTTCCTCTCCTTTATAGTATTGCTCTGTAGCAATTTTTAATGTGTATGTTAAGCACCTACTACTTGCCACCAGGTAGGAATACCATTATGAGAAAAACATGGTTCCTGCCCTGGAAGTCACGGTGGAGTTTACATACAAATAGTAAGCCGATCATCTTAGTGATATGTGTGCTACCATGGCAGCAAGTATGGGGTATTTTGGGAGCTCTGAAGAGAAGTTCCACATCCAAGATTTGGGCATAAGATTAGGCGCCTTAGAACACATGAAAACTGAGCTGGGTCGTGAATTAGCCAGGCATAGGAGGAGGAAACTGTATTCCAAACAGAACTAAAAGTAATAGGGCAAAAGGGATGGAGCAGGGGAGACCATACATAGGAATCATCAAGGGAATCAATCAATTTTACCGGGGAAGAGTGTTCACCAAAGAGGATTCCGTAGAGCTGAGTATTGAAACAGGAGAATATTCACTAAGTGGGCAACTGTTTCTTAGAACTGGATACAGACCATTTTGCCACAATCAATAGAGACCCAGCAGGTCTTTCTGTGCTCATGACAGACAGGGTTTTATTATTTGTATCTTGGCTTCATGTCTTCTGGTTAGGCACAGGGCAGCAGGCACTCAACAGATGTTTGCAGAATTGAATTGAATACCTTACTGTGAATGAGGTGTGGACTGAAACAGCTGAACCTCAAAGCCAATTGTTAGAATAAGCAGCTTAGTATCAACACTCCTAAAACAAAGATCCTGTATTTGGCAGTTTCCCATTCATTCATCTCACAGATATTTCCTGAGTACCTGTTGTAATAAGCCAGGTTCTGTGATACTAGCTCACAGCCTGGACTACTGTTAAAATGGAGAAGGTTAATAACCCTTTCCAACTGGCAAGTTTATCCGAATACTTAGGGCTCCATTTTTAATACTAACTCACCCAGAAATATGCATCAGGAGCCAGTACTAACTAAAGCGAAGTTCTTAGGAACTGCACAGAGGTAATCTAATGATAAAAATCTGCCCGTAAATATTTTAAGCTAAAATTCATGTTCAGTAGTGCAAAACTCTGGGGTCCCAACCCAGGTCTTACTTTGAGAAAAGTGTCCATAGTTTTTGTTTTGTCTTTATAAAATATATTTTTATTTATTTCAGAGAGGAAGGGAGAGAAACATCAACGATGAGAGAAAATCACTGATTGGTTGCCTCCTTCATGCCTCCCACTGGGGATGGAGTCTACAATCCAGGCATGTGCCGTTCCCGGGAATTAAATCGTGGCCTCTGGGTTCAGAGGTGGACACTCAACCACTGACCCACACCAGCCAGGCTAACTCCATAGTTTTTTTTTTAAATATATTTTATTGAGTTTTTACAGAGAGGAAAGGAGAGAGATAGTTAGAAACATCGATGAGAGAGAAACATCAACCAGCTGCCTCCTGCACACTCCCCACTGGGGATGTGCCCGCAACCAAGGTACATGCCCTTGACCGGAATCAAACCTGGGACCTTTCAGTCCGCAGGTCAACGCTCTATCCACTGAGCCAAACCGGTTTCGGCAGCTCCATAGTTTTTAAAAGAAATTCCATATTAAGAACATTTGTGAATTTAATTGTTTCTGCACACAAACTATTTGTTTCTTTGAATCAGATGATGAGGACCACATGTCCTAATGTTTCCCTTTTGGCTTTGTTTGCCAGGAATTTCAGAGCTAAATATAGGCCTACTTTCCTAATTCTTTGGTACATCTCTGTCTCCTTTTAATCTGGTTTCTAATCTTCCTCTTCCGTATTTATATTTTCTACATCCACACTGTCCAGTATGGTAGCCTTTAGTCACATGTGGCTATTGAATACTCGACAGTTTGTCCAAATTGGGATGTGCTATAAAGTGTAAAATACTTCAATTTTTAATGTTAATTATATATTGAATGATATTTTGCATATATTGGGTTAAATACAATATATGATTAAATTTAACTTTCCCTGCCGAAACCGGTTTGGCTCAGTGGATGGAGTGTCGGCCTGCGGACTGGGGGGTCCCGGGTTCGATTCCGGTCGGGGGCATGTACCTGGGTTGCGGGCACATCCCCAGTGGGAGATGTGCAGGAGGCGGCTGATCGATGTTTCTCTCTCATCGATGTTTCTAACTATCTCTCTCCCTTTCTCTCTGTAGAAAAATCAATAAAATATATATTTAAAAAAAAATAAATAAATAAATAAATTTAACTTTCCCTGTATCTTTTGACTTTCTTTTTATTATGGCTATTAGAAAAGTTTATATTACCTATGTGAAAAAATTATATATATGGCTTGCATTTGTGAAATTCATTATATTTCTCTGGGACAGTTCTTTTCTTTTTAAAAAATATTTTTGATTTTTTAGAGAGAGAGAGGAAAGGAGAGGGAGAGAGAGAGAAAGAAACATCCATGAAAGAGAAACATCAATCAGCTGCCTTGTGCACACCCGTACTGGGGATTGAGTTCGTAACCCAGGAATGTGCCCTGATTGGGCATCAAACTGGTGACCTTTTGGTGCATGGGACAATGCTCAATCCACTGAGCCACCTGGACATTTCTTTGGCCAGGCTGGTCATTTCTTTTCTACAAATCATCCTGTTTGGAATGTGCTATTTGTAAACTATCTAAAATCCCTTTGGAAAGCAGGTGAAAAATACATGCAAAGGAGGTGATGGCATTGGATAGTGTGAGAAAGGGGAGGTTCACTAGGAAATATACTTGTCCTTGTCAGTCCATTTGTCTTATTTGTGTCACATACAAAACCCTTCTGTATTTTCAGCTGTTCTGATCAGGTGAGTAGTGTTCTTATGACTCTGCTCAGCCTGTTGAAAAGTTCTCAGCTTTACTTGAGCTAGCAAATTGGGAAGGATCTGATAAGACAATTTACACCACACTTGTAAACTACTGATAACATTGTGTTCACCCCTCTCAAGGGGTATTTCCATTTTAACAGGGAACAATCCCTAAACCCAAAGGAATGAATCCCTAATGGTGGCGTTTCAGGCATCAGTGACAGGTGAGTGAGAGTGAGATAGATCCTGGTGTTATGTGTGTGTTTTACAAACATATACCTACATTCCGGATGTGGCTGAAAGCAGGGTCTTTAGACAAAAAGGCAATGGGGCTGACAGAGAAAGTAGCAAATTCTGAGCTGGGTCAGACTGCACAAGGCTATCAGACACCATGCCCTAAGGGGTTTGTTAAGCAATAGAATAACCCAGTTGATGTCACTAGAGGGTAGGTATCAAGACCGTCTCCATAGTAACTACTATGGAGTAGCAGAAAGGGCTTCAGAGTAGGATTCAGGAGACTATGATTACAGTCCACAACTGACTCACTGGCTTAATTTTGGGCAAGTGCATTCACTCTGGGTCTCAGTTTCTTTGTCTGGAAAGTAGAAATGGGTGTTATAACAATCAATGAGCTCTAAGGGATGTGAAGGTGTTCTGAGAATTAGGAAGTGCCCTACAACTGCAAAGAATCGTATTAGTATCTTAAAATATAAATGCAGCCAGGAAAGCCTGGAGTATAGAAGGTAGAATGCAGGGGTGGAGGGCAATGGGGAAACCTTAAGGCCTACGCCCCTTGTACCTGGAACACCAGCCCTTCTCTGTCCTCCCAGGCTGAACCCGGACTTCCAGGGCCCATGCTTACACCGGACAAATTATGGCCTGAGCCATGAGCACACAGGACTACATGAACACTTCGGTGCAAGAGCCCCCTCTTGACTACTCCTTCCGAAACATCCAGGTGATTCAAGGTCAGCCCACAGAGAACAGCACTCCACTCACCATAGCAGCAGCTGGGTGTGATCCCTAGGGAGAAATCAGTCTTCTACTTAAAAGCCTGAAGAGATTCTTCCCATATACTTGCAGATTTTGTTGTTGTTGTTGTCTTTTCTGGGAGGAGTAGAAGAGAGGGAGGTGGGAGTGGAAGTGTTTGGCCTTTTAAAAAATTAGCAGAACCTCTGAACAGAACCAGGGGGCTCTCTCAGGGTAATTGATCATCTTCAAAAGACAGGCTACAAGTCAGGTGGAAGAAAGCTGGAAAGCCAGTGTGTCAACCAATAGTTTTATTCTGTTTTTACCTGGAGAGGAAGAAACTAATGGAAGGAAAACAGCCTGCAGCAGAGTCCTATCTCCTCAGTCAGGACACAAGCCTATTCTGATCACTGGTAAAACATGGGGGGGTCTTGTTATTAACAAACTGGCATGTTTCCAGTATAATACTTACTGACATTTTATATTCATTCCAGTCATATCCAAGTTTATTCCATCATCACTCACACTTAGTGCAGATTCCAGCACTGCCCACGCTAGTTCCCATTCAATGTCTTTGCAAATGGGCAGCTAGTACCTCTCAGAAGGGGACACAGCAGGGCTCTCAGTAATATATTTTCAAGGGAATATGCTTCTTCCTAGAGAAGTTCTGCTGTCCCTTGCTTTTGTTATCTGGTCTCATAAATGCTCCAGTATATCTGCCCTCACAGAACACAGGTTGGCATCAATATATCCTAGACCAGCAGTGGGCCGGATCCAGCCCATTTGAAATGAATAAAACTAAAAAAAAAAAAAAAGACTGTATCCTTTTATGTAATGATGTTTACTTTGAATTTATATTAGTTCACACAAACACTCCATCCATGCTTTTGTTCCGGCCCTCTGGTCCAGTTTAAGAACCCATTGTG